ACCTTTGTTTCCATCCGTGTTGCCGTGATATAAGGTTGTCCTAAAATCAACGGATAAGACGTTGTATCTTGAACGAAGAAATGTTGCTCTGTCGCAACATCCCCAATCCGAATTTTGACATCTGGACAAGCTCCATATAATTCGCCTCGTGTGTTATTAACTGCTCGTATTGCCCATCCATGTTCCATATCAATTGGCCATTTTTGCTTCTTATAAAGATCTTTAGACATGAGATTTATTTCAGAACCATGGTCCACCAAAGCAACTATTGGTTCTTCTATATCTCCTACCTTCACCAATACCTCAGTAGTTGCCCTTGCCCAATGCTTTCGAGTATAATGGCTCAAAGTTTTCATTTCCTTGTCACTAGAATCTTCGAAACGTACTCGCTGATTATACCCATTCTTTTCATTTGTTGGTTGCTTGTAACCAATATCAACCTCTTCTTCATCTCTATATATTCTTGCATCAATAGCATGACTCATTCCAGTTTCGCTCATTAATTGCCTCTTTCGCTTAATGCTGTCAATGATAACATCATGAAACTCCTTCTTTGCAATTCCCAAGACTTCTTTCAATGTGAATTCCACCTTAGCGTTTAATATACGTTCTTCCAACATCCCTTTCAAATTTGTTGCCGCTTCAATGTCAGAAAGTAGCTTATAAGCAATTGATTTGCCCTTATCTTTTGTCTCCGTTGTTTTTTCTTCCAATGATGCTGAGGTATCCTTTACAGGCAATTCTTGTGAAGCTGCCTCCCGAGCCTTGTCTCCTCGAGTTTGCCTCTTAAAAGAATTTCCTTCTCTAGTATCATCAAAATTTCCTCGTTTTTTTTTCTCCATCAAAGCTTCATGTTGGCTCTTAGCAATATATGCATGAACTGAAAGAGACTCAACAGGATCCTCCCAACCTGTTCTTCCTCGTATTGTAGCTGCAGTTCTCAATAACGCTTCTCGAGGTAATTTCCCTTCTTGCATTATAGAAACGGCAGAAGCCCAAAACTCACTAGTTTCCGTACTCCCACCAATTTCATCCTCTACTCTAGCACCATAACTTGCACTTTCTCGTGTTGCTGTTTCATGCTCTTTTAAGTAATCTTGAACCAATGCTCTCATTTCTCCCTTGCCAAAATTGGTTTGAAGAAGATCCTCCCTATCTTTCAATGCTATCTTCCCATCTTTCCAGCAAATAATTCCCTGCCGTATCATATTATTAAATTCATTGCAATCTTTTCTAGTGTGTGAAGCATCATCACACCAAATGCATCTTTGTACATATCCTTGTTTTGAAACATTCTTTGAATTGTTTATAGAAGTATTCTCTTCAAGTCTTGCTAATTTGATTTGAAGATCTCGCATTCCTCATATAATTTCTTCCATACCCATATCTGCTTTCTTTGACAAGGATGTCGAAGGTTGAACTGTAGGCATTGTCGATGGTGTAGTATGTACTGGAGCTTTGGGTGCTTGTACTGGTTTCGGAATATTACTCCTATCCTTCCTCCTTTCTTTTTTTGTAAGCAACCTCACCGCATCTTCAACGTTCTTCCACTTCGTTGTCAATCCTTCATCTTCTTCTTTGTCTTCAAGAAGGGGTTCTAATTTCTCTTGCAATTCTTCATCAGCAGCTTGAAGAAATAGATCAACTTTGTTCGGCTCCAATGTCAATTTTTCTACCTTCGATAATTGAGAGTATTGCCTCTCAAATTCCCTTAGTAGCTTTGTTGCTTGCAAATTCTTATTGGGCCGTTCAATCCATCCCAGAAACAGCTTCTTAGTAACGCTATCAGCATCTTCCAAGAAATATTCGTCTTTCAATACATGTGAAAAATCCTCCCATGAATTCCCACAACGATCCGTAATCGATGTAATGTGGTCCCTTATCTCCGGTATCGTGGCAAGTCCAAATAGTGCAACCATTTTCTTCTCAGAAATCCGATTTAATTCCATTTCACGAACATAACATCTTAAATACCTTGAAATATTCCTCCCATCAAATTGATCAATTTTATTGACCACTGCTTGCAATGCTTTGGTTGCCAAAGCTTCCTTTCGATCATTGCTTTGCTGTTGCTGCATTGACAATGAGAAGGCTTGAAACAAACTAGCAATAGACGGATCCATGTGCATACCTTGTCCTTTAGAAGACTCCCCACCAGAAACTTCTCCCAAAAATCCTTCAAAATTTTTATTTTCGTTTTCCATAAAAATAAAGATAAAATCAACCGAAATCCAATACCTTCTACCTCAAGCTTTCACGTCGGGTTCACCACTTATGTCGTATTACGTGCTTTCCTGCTCGAGAACGCGTCGGGCGTCTGGCTGTAGAAGGTAGTATGGAGATTCGCCGATAGTCAAGCAGTCTATCAGTTTTTGACTGCTGGAATATAAACGACTGCAACAATGTACCGTAAATCTATACGGGTGCTCTTCGACTGCTTGTCGAAGTCCTTTTTGCCCTAGCCGGTAGGTCTCTAGACATTACAGAGAACCCCGTACAACCCAAACTGTTAATCTTCAATACTGCTTTGTACTTACGATCTTGTATCCACTGACTGTCCTGTTAGATTAACCCAATAAATTTCATTCACTCCGCATACTCAATCCTATAGACACCCCTTTAATCCTTCAATCACAGACGTAACTCGATTTTACAAAACAGTCAAGAGTATTCAAACCCACTTCATTTAAAAATCCCAATTCACCATTACAACACTGACTTCAGCAGCGATTGCCTCAGTCTTCCCAAAACTCCACGAAGAAGAAAAATCCAAATTCTCTGTCTTTCCTTCCCCGACCTGAAGCATGAAGCTCCTCTCTCTAATTCCCTTGATCTTCCAAAAAAAACCTCCAATGAAAAACCGAACTAGTAACCTTGCAAAAGCTTGAAAACTAGCTCCTCCCTCGATTTCCCTCAAAAAAAAACCACCCCCAAAACTATATCCCACCTAACCTTATCCTCTGAATTTCTTCAATCTTCCGTCTTAGATCCGGAATTGGCTCCCACCTCAAGCTTGCATCCGAAATTGGCTCTCGCCGTCAAACTTTCTCCTCCGTTTTTGCCTTTAAGAAATCCATTTACCGAAAACAACGTTCCCTGAGACGACACAGAGAACAGGACAGCCTGAAACAGAATCGAACCCCGTAATCGGGACCACATTGAGTCGCCCGACCAATTCAGGTCCTATATTGGGAAAGATGCCCGTAGTAACCTGGATGTTCCCGTAATTAGACTGCATTGGGTTGACCGGCCAATTCAGGTCTCATATTGGATAAGAGGACCCGGATTGGATTATCGAAATTGGATCCAATTGGCTCCTCGAACCCGTCTTATGAATTGGTCCTTCTCTTCCTGCTGACTCCCGTTATTGGAATCGAATGGAGCATTTCAGTATGCCCCGGCTGACTGTAACGGAGTGACTGAACCTGACCACTCAGTATTTGTACTGGAATTGGTCGATGCTCCAAATATTCGAGATAATTGAATATTAATAAAATTCCCCTTTCTTTTTATTTTCACTGTATAATCGTGTTACAACACGACAACGTATATTTGACAAATCTTGCGAAAATTCAATATGATTCATGCTTATCCATTGTCCACACCAATGGTTGAACGTCGTCATGATGGTCATAATCCATACCGTCAATGCGAGGAGGAGCAAGAAATATTGGAAGATCAATATCTATACCTTGTAGTGATTGGAGCACTTTTATATTTGGCTACATCTACAAAATCAAATATTGTGTTTGCAATTAGTGTTCTTGTAAGACATAGTGCACGTCCAACACTATGACATTGAAATGGCATCAAATATTTATTACGTTTTTTAAAAGGTACTGAAGACTTGGAATTATACTATAAACAATCTGCAGATTCAAAATTGGTTGGATATTGTGATGTAGGATATAAATCTAATATTGCAATAGCTAAATCTTAAACTTGATATGTATTTTTAAAACATGGAGCTGCAATATCATGGAAATCACTGAAACAAACAATAACTACAACTTCATCCAACCATGTAGAAATTATTGTCTTACATGAAGTATCTCTAGAATGTATTTGGTTGCGATCAATTGATAAATTCATTCAAACAATCTATAGATTTTCATATGATGATTTTCCAACTATCTTGCATGAAGATAATAGTGCTTGTATTGCATAGATGCAAGTTGGTTTCATTACAGGGGACATGACAAAGCAAATTGATCCAAAGTATTTTAGTTATATCCATGACTTAATTACTGATCGAGCACTTATAATTAAGAAAATTGAATCTGCAACTAACCTTGCTGATCTCTTCACCAAAGTTCTCCCATTGTACAACCATCGACGACTTACTTATGGTATTGGTATGCAACGACTTGCTTTTCTTGAATAAGAAAGTTGATGAGTTCTTTAAATAATTAAGGAAAATATTGTTGTATTCTTTTTCCTTCATCTATGGTTTTGTCCTTAAATACAGTAAGATTTTCCTAGATAAGGTTTTAATGAGGCAACAATTATTGATCTTGCGAGATTATAGAAAAATATAAATCATAATTCTATACAAATTTTATATTATGTAAATATTATAATGAGTGAAGAGGAGTGTTGAGAGCATTAAATGTAACCTGTGCACTCCATGATATTTATTATAGTCTACAATAAATACCATAGCTATAGTATTTTGAATGTAGTGGAGAAGAACTGTTTATCCTCTCTCCTTCTCTTCAACATAATCAACCAAATCAACCAAATCAAGTGATTTTTATGTGTGAAGCTCTCTCTTTAGAAACCCTCTTGTGTGTATTACTTACTACTACTCTTGTGTGTGTATTACTTCCTACTACTCTTGTGTCTTTCTGAACATTCTCAACAGCAAGGATTTGAACTTTTCGCAATCAGGAAATTGGTACTACTAGGAAAATATCATTTTCAACAGAAAGCAAAGATTTGAACTTTTCGCAATTACTAAATTGGTACTACTCGGAAAATATCGGAAAATACAGCTGATGCACATAGAAGTTTTAGGATGGAGGCATTTTGCACAAAAATGGATCTTCGTTCACATGCTCGTAACCAAGAATAACTCAAGATCAAATTCTCCCATATGAACCTAATACAGTACAGTGCAGCCTTTCTTCCGCATTTCTTAGCCTTCACGAAATTACACTTGAAAGAAACAAGTGGGAGGAATTAATAAGCCACAACCCAAATCAGTCTTATACAGTCCATTCCTCGCTTTAGTACATTCCCTCGGCGCCAATCAAGCTTTGAATAAACAGCCGCCAGTCTCTTTGAATGAAGTTTCATCATCATCCCGTGTTGCAGTAGCGTTATACAGCCTCGTCAGTTTAGTTTTTCTGGCTTAGTGGTAACGAGGCAAAGGCGGCAACCTCTGAGCTCCACGAATCTTCTGGTCTCCGAATTTGCGGCAGAGGCAGAAAATGATGACAGACAGTAAGACTAGGCAGAACGCTCCAATACCGATCCACATGAGATATGTCCGCACTGTTCAGAATTAACAACAAACGCACTCACGAATTATTCCAGGCATCATTTTGCATCAAGAAGGATGCCAGCATGAATAGAAATACGCTACATTACATCACTGCGGTGGTTACTTTGATGGTTCAAATGTCTTGTTCTCGCTCCCGAATGGATAAATTTCAGCCATATCCAAATGAAGGCAATGAAAAAGAGATTGGCAAGCAAACCTGGTGTGGGTGGAGCACGTGGGGGAAGTGCAGGTGGGGCAGCTGGAGCTGGAGCTGGAGCTGGACCAGCAGCCTTCGGAGGAGCGGCAGCAGAAACAGGGGGAAGAGTAGCAGAAACAGGGGGACGAGTAGCAGAAACAGGTGGAACGGTAGAAGAAACAGGGGGGGTGGCAGGAACTGAGACAAGCAGTGCAGCGATTATGTTAAAATCGAAGTAACATTTCTGATAAACAACTAGAAGAAGATGAAGATGAAGATGAATACGAGAAACAAAAAACAAAAAAAAAAAAAAAAAAAAAAAAACAACAACAACTGGTGATAAGCATCCTACTCTTTCCGACTTCGAATCTAACCACACGTCAGGTCGAAAGATAACACACAATACCCAAAAGCTCTTAGAATTCAAGAGAAGATCACACCGACACTTTTCGAGTATGAACTCACCACCACCAGCCTGAAGTAGACCTCTGCGACGAAGTCCTTTGTCGAAGGCTCTCAGTACCTCCTGTTGGTAGTTTGCGCTAGTCTCTGAAAGTGGCAAAAAGTGGAGTATTCATGAACACGTACATCTTTTTAGGCAAAAAGCATAAGAGCTCACACATGAGGTGACACCAAAACATTAACTTAGTATCCTCTGAGCCATCAGAGCAGCTGCTGGCCATGTGGAAATCAGAAAACTTCAGGTAAGCACCGTGTAGTTTGGCTTTCCGAGCACTCACAGGATGACAATCCAAACCCTCTCGAAGCCTGGAATTCGTGTACTTATTCTAGAAAACAAATGCCTGCCTCATGCACTCAAATCGAGTAGAAAAACCTCGGAACTCAGAGAAACTCGTTCACAGAGGTGAAAGGCTTTTCAGAACTTTTCTGTATACGAAAAATGCTGGATCGCAAAACTTCTACACATGAACGACTTCGACTTCATTCATGTGCTTTCACGAAATCTGTCGGTGCATGCTCATGAAAGTATATCGGAAAGATGCATGGTGTTTGACCAAATCTACTTCCATTTTGAAGCTTTATGTGATCATCCTGTCACTCTTTCCCCAATTGATAACCACATGTTCCGTGTTCCCTCAGCAACCTCTCAACCAGGGAGTTTGAATAGTTACCAGCACTTGCAGCTAACTGCAACACTGAGCAGACCAGAAGTAGCAGCAACGTCGAACCTCGCCACGAACCCGCCATAGCTGCCGAAACCAGGCGCTACTACAAAACAATCTCAAACCCGCCTGCTCAAGCCCGCTTCACAAAACGAATCGCTGAAGACTCCGGAAGAGAGCCTAGAATCTCTTTAGAAAAAACTCTCAAATCTGCATTGCGAATTCCTGAAGTTCAGCATCCGCTGTTCCGGCCAATGCTCCAAACCGGAATCCGCAAAATCCGCACAATAAGTCAATACAAACACTCTTCAGCCTGAACACTTCTTTCAGGCTCCTCAAAACCGTCGCACTCAAAACTTCACACTTCTTGCTTAGTTACAAAGCTTTGCTTAAAGTCGCGATGATGGTGGCTCAACGATGAACGCAAGAGAAAGCAAAACCGAACTGTCGCGAAAAGGTGACTATCCACGCCCAGCAGTTCTCGAAGATGGAAAATAAATAAAAAATAAAAATAAAAAAAACGCCCTAAACAGACATGATTTCGCGCGCACACAGTGCAAGACAGGCAGAGGGAAGGAGCACGAAGGAGTTGAGGGATTCCGTCCTTCCCCCGGACTTCGCAGAAGTCTCGAAATGAAGACCTGCTGCCCGCAAACCAACTTGATTATTTAAAACATTATCATATTTGCCCGGAGAGAAGGTCAATCTGGGCGAGTCTAGCGGTTCGTCAACTTGCCCGCTGGCTCGCACAAATAACGGAGGCGGGTTGCAGCGTTGAATAAGTTGCAACACGAGCGAGGAGCGGGCGGAATAAGAGACTGTGACGAAGTTCATTCATTTGCTTACGCCCAAACAGAATCCCGCTGCAACACAAACACAAACTCTGCGATGGTGGCGGGCCTAGTCTTCACCGAAATCACGTGCAGCAAGTCCTGGTTCGACTTGCAAGTCGGACGACTCGCAAAATCCTCGAGTACCAACTCGGAAGTTGGTGAGAATCCACACGCCGAGATTCTAAAATCGGTTACCCCCCACGACGAATTACCCCATCAGCAACATCGGCGACAATTTCTGACAGCAGATGCGCAAAATTAACACCAGTCCCACAATCCACCTTGTGCAGTAATCAGCTTAATTAACACTACTGTTTAGATCAGCTCGTGCCAGAGAGGATGAGTGCTGCCGCTGCACACTTTTCCGGTAGACCTCGGCAAAAAAAACACGCTCCATTTTCAGTCGGTAACACGATTCTTTTGGTACTAATTGACTTGTGCGCTGCACAGTTGATTCATGCCAGTGACAGCGCACAACGGCATCGCAGATTCTCACCACGCGCTTCGCACCGCAGTCTCTCGCTCAAAACAAGATAAAAATGTAGTTTTTGATCAACAAAATTTCGAAGTGGGTTTCGGAACCCTGTTGCAATTAAACAAATTATAAAAGTGGGTTGTGTTGCCCATTTTCTATTAATCTAATTCACGAGCGGATTTAAATACCCACATTAGCATTTGAATAAATTCACCCTCACAAGCTCACTACCACGCCTGTTTCAGTGACCCAGTTGTGTTATGAAACGTGTGTAGATGGCCCATACAGGGCCAGGTTGGGTTGAGCTGAGGCGGCCACGAGTCTCAATACCATTGAGGCTTTTGGGCTGTCCACTTATTGCTAAATTTGTTAATTAGTTAAATTAGTATATTTAGGGGTATTTCTAATCCTTTGCCAAGGTCTACACCACAACGTTTTATTAAACTCTATGAGAATGTAATACATGGTAGATATAATTTATCCCCATGTGATTTTAGTGTTGAGCTGAGAATGTTGTAGTGTTTGGTTTGAATGGTTTCATGCATGAGTCTAGAATGAGTGGAACTAATTATTATTCCTATTGAAGAAATTAACTAATGAATTAAGTGGGTAGGTTTGCTCTAAAGATGGTGTGGTTAGAATTGAGGGTTGGCAACGGATTGACTTTACTGAAGTTTGTTGAAGAGATATGCCCATTGATTTATAAGCTTGACTTCCAATGACACATGATCACAATGTGTGTTAAACAGTGTATCTATTTTGTGTGTAGGACAAAAGCAATAAGTGTTGCTTTTATGAGATGTAAATATATCTTACCTTCCATATTGATGTATAAGTTTGCTTTTCTGTTTTTTGCAAAACTAATCAAACTAAAGTTATTCTTTTTGTATGTTTATATTACCTGTTCTTCAACTTCAATCTTATGAGTATTGGAAAGGATGTATATGCATTTATAGATTGTGAGGAATGAAAAAAAAAAAGTTGCATGTTTGGAGGAATATATGACCTAATTTAGTGATATATTGCATGATGGAAAAAGTCATTGTTTCATGTGTTTTATTAAAGGTCAAGGATGGAGTTGTTGAATAGGCCGTGAAAGAATTTGGTGGGTTTGGTATTTTTGATATAGGGGTTGAAAAAACTTGTAACTTACAACTGCTAAACCAAATCAATTAGAAGTGAAAATGCTTTTAGTGAGGGAATGCAATACAAGGGGGATGATTTGGTATATTATGAAGGATACAAAATTTAATTAAGAACAAAAACAAACAACTGGAACTAAATCTAAAACTCAAGTTTAAAGAGGTTGTGTGACAAGATCCAAAAAAATGTGTCATGTTTCAATCAGCAAATGAGATTCAATATGGCAGAATTTAGAGTGTAAACCAAACAGAAAGAAAGGGAGAATGAAAAATTAATAAGTAAACAAAAATGAAGGCCATTTAAGTTGTTGTAGATCAGGATTTTAATATATTCATAATTGAAATCCATGAATGTATCTCAAAAGCAACTAGATACAGGGATTTAAGTTTGTTGGGTCACATTTTGCTATGTCAAAATCATTTCTTTTATTCATTCATTGCTCATTCTTTTCAATCTGTATAAATTTGGTATTTGATAAAATTTCAAATATTATTCGATGTTTATCAATAAGTACATTAGAAATAAAATAAAAAATAACACCAATTTACACACCAATCAATTTTTAGAATCAACTTCTTATACAATAATTATTTAAAGAAAAATTCAAAAATATTAAATAAATTATTAGTCTTTTATATTATTATGTGTGTATATGAAAAAAAAACATATATATATATATTTAACTATATGAATTGAAAACTTTGTAAAGATGAAAAGATGTTAAAGAATCTCTTATGTTACATTCATACAACAAATGTTATACATACAACAATATAAAACTTTATGACAGTTGTTTAAAATTATCTTATGAAATTTCACTTTTTTTCAAAAAAATCACAAATATAAACGTTTATATATATATATATATATATATATATGTTCTTATCCAATAAAATTCTAAATTTACTTCATATTAAAAATACAAATAAAACATGTCTTAGGATGTATGTTTAATTATATATTACATAATTATTAAAGTGTATTAACTTTAAACAAAGTATCTTTATATTATACTAACTAATATTTAGTAGTTGATAAAAAATTTCAGAATCTTTTTAAACACAATTTTTACACAATTTTTAAATATATTGACTATGTATTAGTATAATGGTATTAATAAATTATAATCAGTTTAATAAATATTTGAACTGCCCAGAAATGCTGTGATAATGATATTCATTTGGTAGTGAATAACAATAATTTTTTAAAGAATGAGAAATATCTTAATACTACTATTAATGATTAGTTTTTCCTTTTGGTTTATTTCAAAAAATGTGTTAATTATATTTCACTCTATCAACGTAGTTCTGTATTTTTTGATCACATTAAAATCTTCTTGTTTCGATCTATTTCAATTTCATTACAATAACACAATTACTACTTTAAATTATACCTATCTAAACAATTAAAAAGTTATTATTATAATTATATATGTATAATATCAGAAGTTTAAACATTATTATTTTAATTGATTTGACTAAAGTATTATATTTTATTATGTAAAAAAAGGTTTTGTTGGTAGAAAATATAACCAAAATATGTACAAAAGCATAGAAAGTATCACAACTATTTCAAAAGATATTGTACTAAATTGAAATTTGATATAGTTTTAAGTTATAAAAAATAATCACATAATTTAGTACGCCTCAAAATTAATTAAAATTTTATTATTTATATTCAAATTAAAGATAAAGGTAATTTTAAAAGTCTAATTTTAAAATAATTTACAACTTGAATCATGAAAAAGATGAAAGAATTCAATTATTGCTATAAGCTAAGTTTTCATAATTTGCAGATAGTTAAATACATCTATTTAAAAAAATACTATTGATTTCTTATAAAACTATGAGTTCCAATTTGCTTTGTATAGATGTAACATGTTAAAAATTCTCAAGTCTAAGATAGAACTTTTAATTATAAAACAAAACTTTTTTAGAAATAAAAAAAACATGAACATATGATAAAAATACATTTGATACTATGTTATTTTACTACAAGTTAGTAAAGTTGAACTTAAAGCTACAAAGTAATAATTTGAAATTAATTATATTTTTAAATTTAAATAATAATTAAACATAAATTTGAGATTTAAGTACAATTAACTATATATGGAATTACTTGTAGGTGTATTATGTAACAAAGCATTTAATAAGTATTCATATCATTTATATTATTTAATATATAAATAATTAGATTAATGATACTCTTTTAGGTACCTTTTTGTTTTTTAATAGAATATTCTTTAACATATAATTCTTTATCCATACACAAAAAGTGATTTCAAATACTTTTAATAGCCTTAAAAACCTAATTAAGTCTTCTATAGATATTTTAATCCTTATATGATTTATTTAAAGTTCCAAAATTTAAATTCATAATATTTTAAATTTTTATATTTAAAAAATGAAATTTCAAAATTTTTAAATCGAAGAGTTGTAATACCTTAGAATTTTTAAATCTTAAAAATTAAATAATATTTAAAATATAGTATAATTTTAAAATACTTAGATTGGATTTATCTTTATAGACGTTAAATTAAAAATTAAAGTAAATTAGATATTTTGTTGAATAAGTAATCAAATCATAAATATTTATAATAAATTATTTTAGTTTTGATATTATTTTTAATTATTTATTAATTCCATAAATTCCAAATATTATTATTTTAAAGTCTAAGTTATGTCTTTAATAGGTATATAAAAATTGAAGGCTTTAATATAAAAAAAAAAATTTGTAGAACCATTAGGTAGACACCTCCCTTATATTACTTGGGCACTCCCACGTGCCACACATCCTTAGATACATTCATTGAAAATCTAGTTTATAATAAAAATATTTAGAAGAGATTTACAATAAATTTTTTTCTAAATCAATTTAAAAAGTGTTTTTGAGAAGTGAATGAACAAATCACGTAAAACATATTATATATTTTTTTTAAACTTAATTTTTTTTAAAAAAGGATAAGAAAAATAAAGAAAGACAAAAAGAAAATCAACAAACTTCTGTAAACCTTTGCTCACAAAACTTTTGTTGTAAATTTATTCTAATACTTTTCAGTGTAAGAATAAGTTGAATTCCGTGTATGCAAGGGTGTTTATCATGGGAGATGTGTTTACACAATAAAAGAAATATGTCCATTCAGTGGTTTTAATAACTTTTTTTTTTTTTTTTTTTTTTTTTGAAAAAACCTATAAATTTATTAATTGAATAAAAGAATTGAACATATTAATATATTTTTTAAAAAATAAATTTATTCTTTTTTTAAGATTAATTAAAAAACATATAAGTTGATAACATAATATGAAGAATAT